TAAATATATATATATATAAAATGGTAATATAATGATAATATATAATATTATATATTATAGGCAATACACATATATGGTAATATTATTCGATTTCACCTTGCTTCTAATTGGAATTGACCGCTTTGAAATTGAAACAATATAATATAATATTAAAAAAAAAGTTTTGATTAGTTAAAAAAAGTTTAGGTCAAATTTATGCATTTTGCCGATTTTAGTTTTGATTAGTTAAAAAAATAAAAGTAATTTAAATTTGATTGTCATATTAATTTTAAATCTAAATTCTATTGAATAAAATAAGAAATTATATTAGATATATATAAAATAAGAAATTATTGGATTCCACCATTTTTATAACTGTAATTTACCATTTTGAAATCGAAACCATATAATATAATATTAAAATAAATTAAGTATAATAATTTAAAAAAGGTATATATATATATATATAGTGATATATATATGGTAATATAATGGTGATATATATAGTAATATATACATGTTATAAGTGATATACACATATGGTAATATTATTTAATTCCACGTTTCTTATAATTGGAATTGACCTTTTTGAAATTGAAACCATATTATATAATATTAAATAAGGTATATAACGTATATATTAAATATGGTAATATATATATATATTATGGTAAATATATACTATTATAGGTATTATACACAAATGATAATATTATTCAATTGCACCTTTTTTATAACTGGAACTAACCGTTTTGAAATTGAAACAATTTAATATAATATTAAATGAGGTAAATAATGTATATATGAAATATGGTAATAATATATATATATATATATATATATATTTAATTATGGTAATATATACATTTATGGCATTATATAAATATAGTAATATTTTTTTCGATTCCACCTTTTCTTTCTAACTTGGAAATTGACCATTTTGAAATTAAAACCAGGTATAAATATAATATTAAATATAATTTATATTAAATTTGGTAATATATAACTCATGTATTATTTAAGAATTAACATGATAGAAAGTATGCATGAAATTGTTCTTTTTAAGCCATAATAATTGCTACTTTCTTAATTTGTGTGAAAAAAAAGAAAATGAACTATCTTTTTGGGCGGAGGGGAGTATAGATTTATTATTTGATTATGAGTAGAAAATAAAACTCACTTATATATAATAACTATATATATAATATATTTTCACAGTTTTATTAGCACAAGTTATATTAGCAAACCATATAGTATATTGAAAGAATTTTTTTGAAAAATTAATTATATCTTCATAAATTTTGATAAAAATATTAAAGAAATATCAAAATTATAATTGATTTTCTAAAATAATTATTAATATAGTAATTATTATAATAACTGATATTGGGTTTCTCATATTTTAGTAATATAGACAATTTATAATATTATAGTACATACACAAATTAAGTTAATTAAATTTTAAATTGATTGGTAAGTAATTTAAGTTTCATAAAAATTGATTTCCAAATTATAACAATATTTTATTATTATAATTATTTTCTTAAAAGTTATTTAACTATTGAATTCTTTGTTTTATTATTTCATAAACTATTCTTTTTTTAATTTTGTGAATACTCTTAGATTTTTAGTAATATAAACTATTCATAATATATAATTAAAATAAAAAATTAATAAAGATTATACATTACATTTACTTTCAATGTGTAAAAAATCAATTAGTACAAATAACGTAAAATGCACATTCGAGAAAACTAGCAATTAATAAACAAGAATATAGCCTAGCGCGATACACTTATTAATTTAAGTTTCATATTTATAAATATAATTTGAAAGTTGTACCGTAATAATACAACATTGATTTTTGAGCAAATAAAAATGCAATAAAAAACCTACAACAAAGTGATTTTCTGAATTTTAATGCTAAACTTGCTATTAATTTGGTGTAAATTTTTAATTTTAGAAACCCTTAACGTATTTGAAAATTGTTCTAGATTTTATTTTTTTTGAGAAAAAAATATTTTAGATTTGAATCAATTTTAAAAAATAGTTTTACAACACAATATTTTTTTGATAAATTCGAGAAGGAATAGGTAAAATAGTAATCATTAATAAATATTGTTATGAAGAATATATAAAATTATTATTGAATGCTAAGCGAATCATATAATTACTAAAAAAAAAAAAAAAAAAAATTTATTATTTGAATGCTAAGCGAATCATAATAAAAAAAAAAAAAAAAAAAGATAACGTAATTAAAAATTATTGAGCAAAAAAATTCAATATATACGGAATAAATATCTCTAAAAAGTGTGATTTAAATTGACAATCCAATTTGTAAACATATAATCAATAAGTCATTTAAGTACATATTTGTTTATACATATTTTTACATTTCATTTGATTTTAATTTTATTTATTTAATACTTCAATAATTTTACTCTTAAAATATTTCTGAAATTTAAATTTACTCATCAATTGATTATTAAATTTGAGATGATTATGCATACTAAGACATAGCTTAGTGATAAGTATATATACGACCTGACAATAGATCTAAATTTGAATTCCCTCCCTCAATATTAAAAAAGAAAAAGAATGGAGACAGTTACGCTGAATAGAAACAAATAATTTTAAAGAATAAAACAGAAAGAGAATTGGTTGGATATCAATTATTCAAACCACTGTTGATACTATAAAATTTTTATATGTAAACTTTGAATATGCTATTAATATGTTGTAATATTATAGAAAGTGAAAAAAAAAAATTAAAAGAAGCAACAAAAGAACATCATTGTGTGCCTAAAATTTTTAAAATATTATTCTTCAAACAATAACTCTGATGTATTTTAAGAATTTAGTCAATAAAATTTATTTTACCTTTTTTTTTAATCTTTAACTTAGTAAGCCATTAATAAAGATATTTCATTTAACGAACAATAATAAAGATTATCATGAGATGAGGAAAATAATTGTTTAAATAAACAAATTTAAAAATCTTGCAAACATTTTAAAATATCTCAAAAAGGAATAACAAGCAAGCAAAATGAGACAGAGGGAATACATTATAACTAAGCGGTTTTCTACGCTTTACGCGGCTATGTAATATATTTAGTTTGAGATGTAAAATATGTGTATCGAATAAATTGCTAAAAACTTAAAGTACATACTATGCATAGACAATATTATATCATGTGAAATTGAAATTTTTTATTTTAACTAATGAATGAGTTATTCATCCAATAAACTTGAAAGGAAAGAGAATGCTAATATTGTATTTATACATGATGAATGAAATAGAGATAACATATTACTGTATAAACACGAAATATTGATGGAAAAATTAGCGAAAACTTATATCCCTTGGCAATAACTTGAAGAATAGAAATGCATACATAAAAAAATTTGAAAAAATTATGAATAATAACAAAGAAATATTAGTAATTCAAAAGTCATTATATTTAAAACTCTATCATAAAAACTATAAATTAGAGATAGATTTTTTTAATGAGAAGCGAATTTTTTTTTCTCTAAAAATATACAAAATTTTGCTCAAATTAGTTAAATTCAAATACTTAAACATTAGAAAGCCTCTCTTTTCAAAGGGAGTGTTGTTGATTTGGTTCGAATTTCTTCTTATATTGAGATATGTAAAATTGATAATGGGAAGCTTGTTGCTCTCTTCATCTCAAAATATAAGTCATTTAACATTTTTAAACATGGATTAAATAAGAATTAACTCCTCTAAAGACTAAATCACCTTTTATCTTACATCATTATTCCTATCTCACATCATTATGTATATAATATCAATAGGTCTAACTATCAATTTCACTCCGAACTTTTCAAATAGTTGCAATTTCACTCTAAATCAACGTTTGTACCATGAGCACCTTGAACTTATCAACCTATTGACTCCCCTAAATGATAACAAAATCAAGAAAATTTTGACTAAATTACCTTTTATCTTACATCATTATTCCTATCTCACATCATTATGTAGTATATAATATAAATAGGACTAACCATCAATTTCACTCCGAACTTTTCAAGTAGTTACAATTTCGCTCTAAATCGACGTTTGTACTATGGGCACCTTGAACTTATCAACCTAGTTGCAATTATACTCTAATTTGCTTTTAGGGTGCAAATGAATTACAACACTCTGAATTTATCGATTTGTTACAATTGCACTCTAAAAGTAAATTACAATTGAAATTTTGATTAAAATAATATAAAAATTGGCTCCATAACCAATCCAAACTTAGGCCTTGTTTGATTCATTTTAACTTACTTCTCAGGAAGTTTTCACTTCTCGAGAAGTAGAATTCCAAAGAACTTACTTTCTGGGAAGTTCAATGTAATTGTGTTTGATTGATACACTGAATTCCTAGAAAGTAAAATTGTATTTATTAAATGGGACATTAAAAATAACAAGAATACCCCTATAATATTTATAAATAGAATAATTAAAAATATTTCAGTTAAAAAAATAATAATTTGCAATAATTTAATAAAATAAATACCATAAAACCTTAAATTCAACCGACTTATAATTTTTTTATCACATAATAATAAATAAAATTACATTATCATAATTGTAGCATCTAAAACAATATTTTAGCCATATATATCACCATTTTTGCACCCAAATATACATATATAACTTTACATACATATGAACTACCTTAGCTACTACTATATCATTTGCCTTCATATTATATAAACAAGTCCTATGATATCTAAACATTAACAGTCATAAAACTCATAGTCCTAGTAAATTATAGATTTAGGGATTAATAAACTAAGTACATAAGTCTTCCTAAAATCCTCCGGCAAATTAAAAAAGTAATTAATCTCCATGGTATCACGTGCAATCTTCCTTCCTACCTTAATAATATCCTGTTGAGATAAGCCTTCGAATTTCATTAACTCAACATTAACAACCATTCTTCTTTCTACCCCTTTAGATGCATGCTTAAAATAGTTAGCAAGTCTCCCAATTTGTTCTCCAACAACCATCAAATTAACTAATTTATCCATTTCACCAGAAAATTCTTGAATAACTTTCCAGTGTTTGATGGTGCAACATGTGTTGTTTAAACAGAATGAGAAAATGCATGTATAGGTTTAGCACTTGTTTCTTCTTACTCATTACCTACCTCGCCATTAAAAATTGGTGGGAGACATGATTCATAATGACTTTGTTATTCTTGCTCATCTAACTCAATATCTTCTATTGCATCGGCTGGATTTTCGGCACCTTCTCTTGTAGCACTATCTTTTTCATAAACATAATCTAATTCATTATGAAAAGAAAATGGTTTGTTCCTCAATCCTCCTGCATCTCGGTGACTCTGCACAAAATTAAATTTTTTAGTGATGGATATACTTATACGAGTCAAATGCACTTTCTAAAAGTAAAAATAAGTTTTAACAGTAATACCTTAACCCAATTCTCTCAAACTTCATCGTCACAAGTAATGCACTTATCTCTTTCATTCCATCCAAATCCATTGCATCTTGGACCTCTCATTTCAGCAATTGCATGATAATTTGATCTAAAAAGTTTAACCCTTGAGTCAATACATGGATTAGCTTTCATTTGATAATTAGGAATCTTGCCTTTCATCATCTTCTCTATTTGAAGCTGGTAGCCAGATATAAATTGACCATCATCTTGTTTCCATCCACCCATATTAACAAGATCCACTAAACATGAAACTAAACCTGCGTCTTCAGCATTTGTCCATCTAACATAAGACCTCCTTGTCATTATGTAGCATTTTCCCTTTATCTTTTGAGGTTGCACTTCTTTGACCATTGTTAATATTATTCATCCTTAAAATTATCATGCATATGCATACATTACATAGAGAATAATATCATGAATGCATAATAAATATGCTAATCATATAATCTGATCATAAACAAAAAATAAACATTTATATCAAAATTAGAAAATCAATTAAGAATAAATCATAATTGAGAAATTGTCTACAAGGTAACAAGTGATTCATAAAAAATATAAAAAACAATCATATTATTACAAATAAACAATTCAAACAAATATTCATCCAACTCATACTGATACAAATTTGTAATTATTATAAGTTATTCCTATTTTCCCTCTATTTTTGAAAAAATTTCATTAGCTAAATTGAATCTAAAGTTATTCCATTCTGAAGAACTTTCTAGATGGTCAATTAGCTCTCCACCATAAACATCTTGAGGTCCTTGTTCCATTTCTTCATACTGATTTAACTCATTCTCCATTAGATCCGATTGCATGTTCATTCTAATAAAATCGTGTAATAAAGCACATGCTGAGATGATCCTAGAAACTGTCTTTATAGGATACCAAGGTGTGCATCTTAAAATACCCCACCTAAGCTTTAATAGTCCAAAACACCTTTCTATGACATTTCTTACTCGATAATGTTTCATGTTGTAGCATTCCTCTACTGTTCTTAGTTCATTACTAGTCTTCCAATCATTCAAATGGTATCTTTGACCTCTATAAGGGGTTAAGAAGCCATTTGAATTCATGTAACCAGCATCACATAAATGATAATATCCTATAATGAAAAATAAGCAATCTATTATTACTAAATATGAATTACATGATTTATAACACAAAAAAATTTAACTTTCTTATACATTACCTTGGGGAACTTTTAAAGGATTTTTTCTAGAAAGTGCATCTCTAAGTACTCTATTATCGTGTGCAGACCCCTCCGATCTAGGTAAACTCTATTATCGTGTCAGAACCCTCCGATCTAGTAAAATTATATATATATGATATATATATATATATAAATATATAGTTATATAGTGTAAATCTTGTGAACAGACTCCTAACACATTAGTTGAAAGATCTCCTTTCCTATTTATGTATATAACTTTATCTTTCTCTGCCACACGAACTTTAATATGTGTTTCATCTAATGCACCCAAACAATTCGACAAGATGTGTATATTTGTTAGAATTATATTCTGTGTTCAAAAAAAAAAAAAAATCACAAAGTTTTAACATAGGTAAATGAAATCTACCTTGAACCACTTCCATTTGTCATTAGAGTTATTTTCATCAACTGGTTCTTGCTTTTTTAGAAGAAGATGATGACATTTAAGTACAACATGTAGGACTGAATTAAAATACCTAGATATTGATTCTCTGCTCCTTCTAAAATATAATTGAGTTCCTCTATTTTTGGTATGATGTGAAACTATGTATAAAAATATATCTACCATTTCTTCCACACTCATATTCCTATTTCCATGTAACTTGCCGACTTATTTGAGAATCTCACACAATTATAAAAACACATCTGGTTCATTCTGAAATTTTCAATGCAAACTTCATCATCATTATGAATAAGTGTCTTAATATTTAGAAGTCTAACCTCCATTCATCGTTGAGCAGCATCACCAAATTTATAAGAAATATTTCTAGGAACTCTGACTTGTAACATAGCAATTGCATCCACAGCCATAGTCATCATTGCCATAATCGTTATCATCATTTCAATATAAATTACTATGCAAGAAGCAACCATCTCTTTCCTTTTAGTCAATGGAAGTCTTGCCATTATTGTAAAATATACATGCGTTAAATACATTTAAAATATAACAAGAAATTTATTTAATCAATTTCTAAAGTAAAGATAAAAAACTGATACAACTAATTTTACATTGAAATATAATTCTATACTCCAACAATAAGCACATATACACGAATGCATTTCTAGTAAGTTGGTGATTAGTTGGGTTTTGCCATTTTTCTCATTAACAAATTGCACATCTAATTATTTGTGAGTGAATGACTAAGTTTGATAGGTTTGCATAGTTGAGGATTTCTAATCTAAACTGGCAGGGGTAGCTTGTTATATCATGATTCTTTATTTATTTTTTGTTATTTTCTTCATTTATTTATTTATTTTCGGTTTCAAATATAGACTTAAGATAGAATAAATCCCTCGTCTAAAGGACTTCAATTATAAAATACACAATGTTCCTTTCTTTCCTCAGTCCACACGCCCCCAATCTCATGTCCATAAAGGAGTTGTTATCTTGAATATTAAAATATGATATTTTCTTTCTAAACATAGAATCTTATTTGAAAGCTGAATTAAAAATATAGTTATTAATATTTTGTTTCTAAACTCCATGTAAACTAACATGATTGTTAATTTGTAGCTATAGTAAATCTAAACATGAATATTTAATTGTAGCTATATATATATATATATATATATAATATATAATATATAATATAATAGATAATATATATATATATATATATAAAAGCAATCCTGAAATGAGAACTGCAGGCACAGTACGAAATTCAATTCTTTATTATTTGGTTGTTTCTAGGTTACTGATTTTGGGCCTGCATTTATGGTTCTGATTTTAAGCATAAATGATCACTCAAAAATCACAAATAAGAAAACAAGAGATATTTCCATGGCATATTTGCAAGTTAGAAGAAGGAGAAGAACAACAAAGAACCCACAAGCAAGTAAAAATTGGTTATCAAAGAATCCACAAGCAAGTAAAAATCGGTTAACAAAGAACCCACAAGCAAGTAAAAATCAGTTTAATTAAGGAAACAAAAATCATTTTAATTAAGGGTTTGATCTAAAAATTATATACAAACCCAATCTTACTCTCAACGAGGACTGATAAGTGAGATTGTTCTTGGATTAAAAAAAAATAAAGAGATTAGAGATCTAGAGCTTACTTGATGTTTGCTTGAGAAACCCCTTAATAGTGATACTGCTTCTTCTTCTTCTTCTTCTTCTTCTTAAATGATAACGACATATAGAAGCTCAAAGGAAGAAAGGGAAAAATGGAGAGGGAGAGTGTATACGCTTAAATTTTGTCCCTAAAAGGTTTAGCGATGAATACACCATTTTCCTGTAAAATTGGATCGGGATTCCTGAACGCCCTGGTTTTGGACCAATGGTCCTTGGTTGAGATTGCTGATGTGTTTAACTATTTTTACTTTTTTGGGTTACCAGGTGTTTCGCGGTGAAACCGGGCCTGAGAAATGCGTTGGGCCCACCCGATACATTTTTTGGTGCACCGTCCACCCGGTCCAATTTTGTAAAAGTGAACTCAGTCCTATTGCGGGGCTTGACAATGGCATTTTTGCCTCGTCAGCCCTAGATGGGGCCACCCCACCCTCAAAGGTCTATAAATAGGCATTGGGGGTAGGTTTTAAGAGGAGGATTTTGGAAAACAAGGGGAGACTCTTGCATTTTTAAAACTCAACTCAAAAATCCTAAGGCAACTACTGTTAACCTTGGATTCAAGTTGAGGTCTAGCATTTAATCAATAAAAAAAAACCCCTCGTGATCAATCTAAAATCCTAAAAATACAAACTTTAATCTTGAAATTTGGATCATTGGATTGAAAACCAAGGAGTTGGGTTCTTTATCCATTTTTACTCAATCTCCTAACGAAACCACCAAAGGTAATTTCTGAGAACGTTTAATCTATCTTCTCGTCTTTTTCTTTTCTTTTTCGATGTTTAAGACATCTTTCTTGGTCTGGTTGTGAGGGAAACCAAGGATCAATCAAACAAGGGGTTCTGCACCTCTCTGGCGCGAGGCCTGCAAGAGTGTCATGCGCCACATCTTAATGCCCCACGCCACTAGTGCCCAGATCACCTGTTTTCATCGAAGAAACACTAGAAGCCTTCCTGATCTGGAAAAGGCCCCGCGCCACTACGTGTAGCGTGCGCCACAAGCATGAGACGAATGCCATAATCCCTTGTGGCCTAAGGCCTTTCAATTTAGAGGTCTTGAAAGAATAAAAATCCAATAAAGGTCTCGATTCGGTGATCCTGTGGCCAAGCTCCGACCTTAAAAGTTTCGTGACTTGTATTATGTCATATATGGATCAAATAAACAAATAAAACATGATTTAGAGTAATGATTGGTGGATTTGTTCATCCTTCTAGGATGAACATCAGGTGGATTTGTTCATCCTTCTAGGATGAACATCAAGATCATGAGCTCAAATCTTGTTAAAACCTTTAAATTTCTATCATTTAATTATTATCTTTTACAAGCACTTTACTATTTCTGTTCTTTATTATTTCAGTCCTTTAAAATTCTTGTTATTTAGTTTAATGTTTACAGTTATTGTGCTAACCCATTTCTTATTAATCTTATATCATTTACATTCATCATATTCATGCTTGTTGAATGATTGATTGTGTTATGATCTTATTATTAATATATGCTTCTGTGAATATTTGTTATTTTTTATGTTTATTATTTGTGGTTTGGATTTATGATTTAAGTTTTATTGTAAAATGTAAAGGGTTCTTAATGGGATTCACATAATACCTTATTTGTAATAAATAGATTGAGTTTGGAAATTTGGAGAGGTGAGGGTAGATTGTAATAATTAGAGTGGTTTATATCACTTTTCTCCTCCCCCATTTCTTTGTGGATACTTTATGTTTCATGTTTATTATGGTTGTAATAATTTGCTTGAATGGCATGTTTTCCAAAAATTGCATTAAAACTATTTTACATCTCAATTAAGAGTTAATCTCATTATTAATCACTGTGAATCTTTGGACAACGAGGAGGCCGGTTTAACCAGGCGAAATGGGTGCCTAACACCTTCCCATTTCGTACCTAATTCCTGGATCCTATCTCCAATTTAAAACCAGATTAATCGATTCCAAAGAATGGACTGATTCGATACTAAATAAGGGTGGCAGCAAAATAAAACTTTTACCAAAGTAAGAGAACATTTTTCCGAGGATTAAACGAGTTTAAGTAAGAGAAAATCATTTTTACTAAATAAAATAAATCAAGCACGTTCGATTCAATTCTTTCCAATCTTTTGAGAAAAATCTGACGTCCTCACAGGGGAAGTTTTTAGGTCGAGAAGTTGCACTTAATTGGGTTGGGAAGGGGAAGTTAATTCATGTACGGCTAGGTAAGTAGAGTTTCTCAATTCCCGGGAATTTGTTGCTTTGTGCCCACCAAACAATCCCACAATCTCTATTTCCTAGGAGCGACAACTTCCCTTCCCTTCTTAATTCTAACCAAACGTGACCATAGTTAAATGCAAAACATAACATTTGAGTTAAAAGAAAAAATTAATCATTTTGCCTCTTTTGTCCTTCAGCTTATTATCTTTCTCCCCTTTTAGGAAATTAAATGATGGCAACTAATGGCAAAGGAATCACTATATGCATTTTATTATCCTAAGAAGTGTAATCTTGAATTAATATCCAACTCATTATTTTTGCATCTTAAAATTGGTTCAATTTTAAAACCAAAGACACAATCTTGATTTTTTTTAATTTATTATGTCAATACTTGGGTTTGATTTTATTATTTATTGTTTAAAGACTTGGGTTGTTATGGAGTTCATTTTTACATTGTTTTAATAAAAATTCCAATTTTAGTTTACTTTTAGGGTGCAATTGCAACAAATCGACAAGTTCATGGTATTGTAATTCACTTTTAGGGTGCAATTATAGTCTAAAAGCAAATTGAGGTGTAATTACAACTAGGTCGATAAGTTCAGAGTGCTTAGGGTACAAAGGTCAATTTAGAGTAAAATTGCAACTACTCAAAAAGTTCAGGGTGAAAGTGAAGGTTAGGCCATATAAATTAAGGTAAATTGAAAAAAAGATCATTTATTATTCCTTAAAAATATTCAGAAAAAAGAATTATATTTTGGAACAGAGAGAGCATATGGTAATAGTAATTGATGGTTTTTTATTTGGAAATGAGGTATTGCAAACATTAAATTATGATAATTCCATTTAATAGTTAAAGAAAGAGTTAGTTACGATAATATACTGCATCTCCAGTAGAATTATAAACACAGTGAATGGAGTTACATTGTAATATAGATTTGCAAATTGACTTAGTGGAAATATTTGATGTTGTAAAAAACAAGAAAATGTTATTCGGATCATGACGATCGTACTAACTGTACTAAGTGTAATTAATGCAATATTGGGAAGACTAAGTTAACCTTTATGTAATTTGTAAGGATATTTTAGCAAAAGAAATGTTAAGACAGAGAAAAGTCTCATTTGATTTTAGTATCTCGTTACAATTGTTAGTCATTTACCATTTTTTTGAAAATGTTATTCGGATCATGACGATCGTACTAACTGTACTAAGTGTAATTAATGCAATATTGGGAAGACTAAGTTAACCTTTATGTAATTTGTAAGGATATTTTAGCAAAAGAAATGTTAAGACAGAGAAAAGTCTCATTTGATTTTAGTATCTCGTTACAATTGTTAGTCATTTACCATTTTTTTAAGCATTTAATGTTAGTATCTCATTACAATTGTTAGTCATTTACCATTTTTTTAATCATTTAATGTTAGTATCTCATTCAATAGTTTAAATAAATACTTGATATTGTATTTTGTGGGATTCAATAGTGGGTTGCATATGAGGCTTGGTCATTTAATGCTATTGAAGCTGTGGACAAGAATAAGGATATTACAAGCAAAATACCTGAAGCAAGTGGAGATAGAGTTGAACATACATTTCAAAATGACACTAAAAAAGAGAATAGGAACAAATAATAAAGTAATTTGTTGAAATGAGCATTAAATACTTTTAAAGAAATCTCCTTTAAATCATTGGTTGGTTATCAAAATCTTGAGCATCAGCGTGTAGGTTCTAGATTCAAGTGGTAGTATTAAGTCCCTTAGTTATTGTCCTTGAGAAATGACCGGATTTTGGGCCATCCCTTAAAAAAAAAATTGATAGAATCCCTAAATACCATAATTTTTACTTTTGATATAGAGATATGGATGAACATGCATTAAATATGAGAATGATGCCAAAACATGAGAATGTGTAGAAATTTGAAGATGGCAACCATATATGATATAAATCATACATTGATGATGGAGCAAATTTCTAAGAGCAATGTGAATGATCGTATTTCTTATGTTGTAGAGAATTCAGAAGGTAATATGATGAATAGAAATACTCATGAGAAAGTGATTTTTTACAACAACACTACAAATCTTAATAATGTTGAGGAAGACACTATTATGAAAGTGAATTCTAATAACAGTAATATAATTCTTGATAGTGTCAATATAAATCCATTTTAAGAGAAATGTGTATGGACAATAAAAAGCTTACACGAGTTTTATAGACAACAGGAGATATTAAAAGGATCTTGATGTTGCGAACAAATCATTTATTGAGGTATCTATAGATATCATATTATTAGTTGTGACAGGGACAAAAAAATATATTCAGAGGCTCTATAAGATAATGGTATGTAGTAGGTTACAAAAATTAATTACTACACAACTATAAGTTGGATCCTACCATGTTTAGGTTTATGGCCGCACACAAAAAAATTACTCCACCTTTGAACATAGTGTTAGAAGTTAATGACATAAAAGGAATTAGGCCATACAAAATCGTCAAAATGCTTGAGGTTAAGCTGGTGGGCCAAAGAGTACTTGCCAAAAGATATAACTTGAGGATGTCGAAGCAATCTGATAGCTATTTATGAAGATGAAATAGAAAGATACTAATTATTTCTATCCGATAAATGTAACAATGAAAGTAGAGTTTAAGATATATTAAAGTAGATTTTAAGATGTATTAAAGGGTCATTTATAAGGCAAAGCTTCTTGCAAAGAGTTCCATGATGTTGTGAGTTTTGAGACCGCCTATCTTGTGAATTAACACAAAATTTTGTTTGCTACTATCATCGTCATCCATCATCATAGTCAATCCATTGTGCTTGGATTTGCCCTCTTGTAATATGAGGACACAAAAACTTTGAAATAGTGAATAATATATGGCTTTTAGCAGTAAGAGACATTCATCCTACAACCATTCTGATGGATCAATGTGAAAGCATGAGAAAAATTATTAAAAAAGTAATGTTAAATACAATACATATGAATTCATGCATTATTACAATTATATTGTCATAAAATTTTTTATTGCTTTTTAAAGAATGGTTTCATATTTTTTTATTAAGTAATATCTAGAATTTAAATCACTATTTATAGGGCTTTGCCTATAAAATAGTTTACGTAAGGTGCCTGAGAAGTTAAAAATGTTGATGAA